ATGGTAGGTATAGGTATATTTTTGTGAGTAAAAATTTATAAACAATGATTAACGAAGAGCCGCCTGATGAAGATGTATTTAAAATATTAGTTGCAACAGATAATCATTTGGGTTATGGTGAGAAAAAAGCAGAAATAGGTAAATTTAGTTATATACACAAATATTTATCGTTTTAATCGACATTATTACTTTCAGCTGATGATTCATTCAGAACATTTGAAGAAATTTTAAAGTTAGCAGTAGAACATTCAGTGGATTTTATTTTACTTGGAGGAGACCTTTTTCACAATGCCTGCCCCAGTGCCTTTGCAACGTATAAGTGCTTAGATTTACTGAGAAAGTAGTAACGTATGTTTTTAAGTGTTATATCTTACTAATGGTATGCTTTTAAAGGTATTGTCTTGGTGATAAACCTGTTGAATTTGAGTTTCTCTCTGACCAGTCGTTTCACTTTAGCCATTTGTCAAATCCCAGTGTTAATTATGAAGACCCTAATTTAAATGTGTCAATGCCAGTCTTTAGTATACATGGAAATCATGATGATCCAGTTGGTCAGCAAATTAGCCTATTATGTATTTGTTTATATCATGAACTGTTAATTTTAAGGCCAGAAGCAATTATCTGCTTTGGATATTTTGGCATCAGCTGGACTGCTTAATTACTTTGGTCACTGGAATGATTTGACTAAAGTAGATGTGGCCCCAATGTTGTTAAAAAAGGGAGAAACTCAATTAGCCATATATGGAATGTCACATATTAAAGATGAACGAATGGGAAGACTTTTTTTAGATAAAAAGGTAGGAAGTACCTTTGCTTTATTATAACATATTTTTAGGGAATTTAACATTGTAGGTGACATTCTTTAAAGCTGAAGGTGATTGGTTTAATTTATTAGTTCTGCATCAAAATCGATATGAAGGTCGTGGTCGTAAAAATTTTGTACCAGATTCAGTTTTACCTGAATTTTTGAACCTCATAATCTGGGGTCATGAACATGAATGCATAATTGAACCTCAAAAATGTAAAAGTGATAGTAATATATACATAAGTCAGCCGGGAAGTTCAGTGGCTACCTCATTATCAAAAGGGGAATGTCCCCAGAAGCATGTAGGACTTCTTCATGTTTACAAAACACAATTCAAAATGACTCCCATTCCTCTTAAAACTGTAAGGCCTTTTGTGCACAGTGAAATCCTTTTGGAAATTAGAGAAGAAGACAATCAAAATGAATATGTGAATAAAACACCGAAAGAATATGCAATTCAACAAGTTAATGAGGCCATGGAAAAATTAATAATAGAAGCAAAGAAAAAAGCAACTGGTAACAATTTTTAAACGTTTTACTAAATTACAAGTATATTTAAAAATAAATAGTTATAAAGAAGTTTATTCCAGATGAAAGTAAAAACATGTTGCCTTTTGTAAGGCTAGTAGTTTACTATGCAGATGATTGTCAAAACTTTAATGCAATTCGATTAGGATTGACATTCAAAGACAGGATTGTAAATCCTGAAGATGCAATTCTATTAAAACGTGCAACATCAAGGAATTTTAAAAATAAAAATAAGTATGAAGTGTTTGAATCTGAAGACTTAAAAAAGGTAAACAACTTTATGTACCCCTCAATTGTTTATGCGTTAGATACGCTTTTAAAAACTTCATTAAAAATACTCAAAATAATACATCTAATAAATTGTTCTAAAATGTGTTAGGATTTTTAGTTTTGAACAATACTATTTATTAGTGCACAAGAAAATCAGTAGGTCAATATGAGAACGGGTATTGAAGTTACAGGTAGTAATATCTGGGACAATAAAGGAAAGTCCAATATGAAAAAATGTTTTTAGAATTATTATCAAGTATTAGAATTTCCATCATGTTAAAAAAGTTTGGTTAGGCAGAGGATTATTATTTAGATTTGTGTTTAACCAAAATTGTAAACAAGATGTAATATGAATCAAATTGAAAAGTAGAAAATATAATGTATCGGTGAGTTTTACTTAAAAAGTAATTATATTTATTTTTTAAATATTCACCAGAAGCAATTAAAAAAAAATGNTGATTGGGCCGAAGCAGTTGAAGATGTGGTAAGAAAATACTTTGAAAATGAAGAAAACGGGAAAAAGATTAAGGTATGTTATGCTGAACACTTGTTGGAAGCTGTAAGAAGGTTTACTGATAAAGAAGAGTCAGAATCGTCCAGCACATTTGATCCTTTCGATGTGGTGATAGAGTAAGTATAAGTTTTCTGGAATGCGAAAAGGAGCCTTTTATATTGTTTATTGTAATTAGAAGGCATTTGGTTATATTGTTTTTATTTGTTTAGCGAAAATTAACACTTTTTTAGTCATGAACGCAAAGAAACTGCAAAAAAAGTTAAGGAAATTGCACCAGAACCTAGAGACTTAAATAATTGCTTGGAAAATTTGAGGGCTGTTAGACAAGCTGCTGAGAAAGAAATTACTACTACTAATGTAAAATATATTATTAACTACAAAAAGCAGAAGAACTTTATTGTCAATATTTTAATGTTTTAGGTTGGTAAACTTTTGGACAATGTGAAACTCACTTATCCCACACGTTCTAAAAGTAGTGTTGGTTCGGATAGTGATGAAGCACTCATGATATCTGATGACGACGATGGTGCAAGTCGTACAATTAATTTTAATAACAAACCAGCTCGCGGAAGGGGTTCCAGAGGAGGAAGGAGAGGAACTGAAACTGGTAGGGCCAAGAGAAGGGGAAGAGCCAGAGGTGCTGCAGCTTTTCTGTAATCAGTTAAAAAGGATACAAACCTAATAGTGTAAGAAGAAAGTATTCAGGAATTGAGAAAAAAGACTAATCGATTTCTATAAACACATATTGGTTTTGTATTTGTACCTCTATCACGTTTATAAGTGTTATTAGAATTCTCATTTAAATTTGATGTATAACTAGTTTTTATTTTTTGTATAAAAAACTTGTTTTTAAAGATAAACATAAGGCTAATGAAATATTCATCACAAATAAAGCTGTTTAACTAAACACAGAATTATTATTTTATTTCCACATTGTATAAGAATTGATTTTTTTATTTATAGAAATTTGTTGAAATTCATAATATATAACATTTAGTTATTATTTTTATGGTAGGTATAGGTATATTTTTGTGAGTAAAAATTTATAAACAATGATTAACGAAGAGCCGCCTGATGAAGATGTATTTAAAACAGTAAAATAGTTTTAATTATTATAAAATTCAATCAAACCGAATTTACTGAAAAATGCTTTACTGTCACAGTTATTTGTATAGTAAAAAGGTAAAAACAGGTAACATAATAGTACGCAGTTTATAAATATGAAATTTTTTATTTATTTGAATGCAACATTATAACTGCAAACATAACTTATGAATATATTCCTTCTAAATTGGTACATTTTGATGTTTCATGTCGTAATAATGGACTTATAAACAGATAGAAACCAGAAATTATATAAACGATCATATCCTTTCAAGTTCTATTAACGATTTCTTAAGAAATTAGAATAACGGATTGGGCAACTTTCGGAATTCCAAATTCCATAGTGTTCCTCTACTTCTTCAATATATAATAATCTTACTGATTTATATAGGTTTCACATTAAAATATAAAG